CTCCTGACTCTTGAAGTCATACTTGCTGCAGTCTAAATCTGACAGATATATCAATTCAGGGCTTAACCAGTCATCATTTTTCTGAGCCACACTTGGCGAAGGATATTTAAGACACTGATTCAGAGTGCATTCTGCGTGCTTGCTATTTAGTGTTTCTTCCAAGTTGTGTTCAACATAGAGGAGTGCTAATTCAGTAACTTCGCAAGCAAGTGTGGTAAACAGGAATCAGAGGTTTGCTCACCATATAGGATGAAATCAATAATTATAAAAATTGATTCATTTGCACTTTCAGTAAGCCAAACACAGGGAAAATCTTTCCTCCTTTGTGGGATCATTAAACTCTGGGAGTTATCAGTGACTTTGAAAGGGATATTGCAATAAATATTTAGGTTTGCAGTGACAGGAAGCTTCTCAAACATTGGGGAAAAACCTTTTGGGTCAGGCAGCATTTTCTAGCCAAGCGTTGAAATCCTGAGATATGAACTGTAGTTTTTTCTTGGATTTTAATCATAATACATATATTACAAAACGTCCACTTTCCTTTTCCTGATGCTGCCTGGCCTGATGTGTTCCTCCAGCTCCGCACTATCTATTACAAAACTGCTACATGTTCCAATTGAATATCACCTATCCAAATACATAAAGCACACAGACAAGACTCCAAGTGCTGTGTAAACTTTCAACAATGTTGCATTTTCTGCCAGCAGCTGGATGGTGTTTGGTAAATAGTTCCATTGTGCAATTTCACAAAGCTGTTTTCAAGTCAAAAATACCAAATTCACAATGTAAATTATGACTGATTACTAAATAGTGGAAAGTCATTTTGAGTTTATACAGGACATTGGTGAGGCCTTTTCTGGAATACTGTGTCCAGTTCTGGTCACCCAATTATAGGAAGGATATTATTAAGCTAGAGAGAGTTCAGAAGAGATGTACCAGGGTACGAAAGGTTTGAGTTGTAAAGAAAAGCTGGATAGGCTGGGACTTTTCTCACTGGAGCGTAGGAGGTTGAGAGGCAACCTGAAAGAAGATTATAAAATAATTAGAAGTATAGATAGAGTTAATGATAGTTGTTTTTTTTTAAAACCGAGGATGCAGATTTCAAGACTGGGAGCACATTTTTAAGGTGAGAGGAGAGAGATTTAAAAAAAAGACATGAGGGGCAAATTTTTTAGACAGAGGGTGGTTTGCGTGTGGAATGAATTCCTGAGGAAGTGATGAATGTGGGTACAATTACAACGTTTAAAAGACATTTGGAAAGTACATGAATAGGAAATTGGAGGGATAGGGGCCAGAAGCAGGCAGGTGAGACTAGTTTAGTTTGGGATTATGACATAACAAGGTGTAGAGCTGGATGAACACAGCAGGCCAAGCAGCATCAGAGGAGCAGGAAGGCTGACGTTTCGGGTCTAGACCCTTCTTCAGAAAAATTTTACGTTCAGCATGAACTGGTTGGACCGAAGGGTCTATTTCTGTGCTGTATAACTCTATGGCTCTCTAAATATAAAATGTATATCTTTTGCTCGCAATTACAGATATCTATAGCCTAAAGCGGAAGTTTTCATTCTGCAGCATCTGCATCCAAAGACGATGTGCTGAACGAGGAAGTACCATCCAGGTTCACAGTAAATCCACCTAACTCTGCATTAGATTTCCCTTCTGTGGGAATTTCTCAAGTTTCTAAACAGCTGAATAAGATTACTAATTTGCAAAGAATTAAGAGTGTAGCTTTCATCAATGGCAGTAGATGTCTGGATGAGGAGGATTTGATCTCAGCCATCAAGTCTCAAAACAACCCCAATTTCCTGAGGAGGAAAGGCTGTTAATCAAACCCAATATGCATCTCAATCTCCTTCCAAAAACTTCATTCCAAACTTTAGAAGGGTTTGTTTTTTCAATTTAGTTATAAAAAGAATTATTGCAATATCAATTTAAATGCATAATAGGCACTTCCTATGGTTTATGAGTTGGAAATGCCAAATAGTACTTTTCCTGCAAAAAAGGACCCATGAAGTGTATTAAGATTCTTTTCACAATGAATGTATTGTAAGAAGCTAGTTAAATTGATTATATCTTATCTTTGCAAATACTTCCATTGTTACCTAGATTATTTCCTCCAATTCCTAACAGGTTAGGTTCTTTTGAATAACTGAATGTCCATTATTTTATGTAAAATATATGCATTGCAAAGCAAAAGCAGATATGAGTAATTGCAATTTAAACAAAACACAAAGATGAGCTCAATGCTTTAACACAATCTAGAAACAGAGAATTGTTGCAAGGGTTTGGGATAGAGAAGTGGGTTAAAGTATTACAGACTCTTTAAAATCATAGTGAAAATGGACTATCGATATGCAACTTCTATCATTTGCTTTTAATATCAGAGACTTTCATGGATGAAGAATTGTTGGCCTGAAACAGCTGCTGTGATCACTTGATACACCCAAGGAACACACACGGAATTGACAAAAGCAGGTGCACTGGAATTACCATTTTAATCAAGAAACACAATCTGAATGAGGTGTCAGTAAATTTTTTTGCCTGCACTCTCACTTGCATGATAACTACTCTTAGGCAAGAACACCTTAGAATTAGCTTGCGTTCATTTTTGACATCATTAAGTGACATGTGATAGCTTAAAAAATACATACATGTAGAACTGATCAAAAAAAGGGTTTTTAAAAAAGCTGAGTTTTAATAAAGCACTCTTATCTAGTCATAACAAGGCACAGGATTTGAAAAAAAAAAATTGGAATACTACTTCTCTTACCGACATTCCCAGACTGTTGAAAATGAAATTTCATTGCTATATTTGAAGTACTTGCATTTCAATACTGTTGTTTCATCACAAAATTATCCAGTTTTAAGTACTGTATTTTTCCACTTCACTTATATTTGCATCTTAAATGGTGTTTTCAGAACCTTATTTTGCATTCAGGTATATCAAATACTACTTCCAACAGAAAGGAGGGAGAACATGATTGCAGCATGTATTTTATGCAGCCCTCCTGGTTTTCAAAAGACAATTCTGGACATTAAGGCTTTTGTCTTACATTTACTTCAAACAAAAGATACCAATATCATTCCACGGAAAATTAACAACAAACTCTTTGGGATAAAGTTCTACCTTACCTGAGTGTTCAAATCTTAAAATGCATATAAAGCCTTGTAATTTCTTTATTAGTAATAAACACAGAGTAAGATTTATTAAATACATACACCTCCAAAAGTCACATGCTTAATTTCTAATTGGGACTACATTACTTAACAAATCTATAGAAAATCTTCCGAAACCCACTCACTGGCTTTTCATTTAAGAAAATGCTAGTTCACATTCATCGAGGTGAATCACTGAACTTGGTTAACTCTTTTGCTTAAAGACATCTTAACACAATTAAAATACCTGCTCACCAAATAATGAACATATTAAAACACCTAATTGAAGCCATATCTTAAAATGAATATCAATTTGAAGGATTTCAACATAAACACATTTCCTCCAAACATAACAATTATAAATATCAGTAAGATAATGCCTGGGATACTCTCTTGACCTGTCAGTAAATATTCTGATCTCTTAATTTTAGAAGAATGCCATTCCATCCAATACTTTCTAATGTGTCCAGTGATGAACAGAATTCCCTTGGTGATTTGAACTGAATGTTTCATGTTTAAATGTGTTTTTACAAATGTTTTACCAGTCTTTTTGCAGACGGACCAAGAAATGTCATCAGTTGAGGCCAGATTTGAATTAGTAAATTGCTTAATGTATGAATAAGTGAACACAGAAATACCACTACTTTGTTTAATCTCTTTATTATTCCTGAAAATTATGAAATAATTAACCCACACATTTTTCGTAAATGGATTAATTTACTTACTTTTGCGATTACTTTTCTTTTCAGGCAATTCCTTATGCCAAAAACTGAACATTTACATTTTAGCTTTTGGCTTTGGGACCAAGGAGTATACCCACCAGTCTCTTATTATTAAAACACTCTGATTCCTTACGTCTTTTTTGTTCTTATGTGTGTGTTCAGTCAGTGAGGGGGCTCTGAATCTTATGTTTTGCCCATTCAGTGACTACCAGTATGCTGTTCATTAAGATCAGCTACCTCTCCTCTTCCCTGACACACAGGCAGGTTTACAGATCAGACTGGGGTTGATTCACTCTTCTAATCATTCTGACCAACATATATAGGATGAGACAATCAACTATTACTGATTCAGTTTATAAAATAGTGAACGATGTGTGATACACTGCAAGCTGATCCACGTGGCTTTGTTTGTGGCTATATTAAAAAATAGTCTAACCCTGCGCAAAATTAACTTTGCTTTAAACCTCTTTTGAAAGACAGCAACATTAAAAAAATGGATCACTTTCTTAGTGCTACATTAAACATCAGAATAGATGAGACTCTCAAATCCTGGGAACTGTTTTTGAATCCACTTCCTTCCGAATCATGAAAGAGTGCTCCCTGTTGGTCCAACAATGCTGTTTTGGAGGCATAAACAACTACTTAGACTTAGATCAAAGAGTTCATTCTTGATGTATTTTTCTAAAAATAGAATGGTGAACCAAGTTTTAATCTGTTCTCAACAGCAACTGCCCATATACTTTCAATCACAAATTAAGCACATGAATGTTTTTTCCTTGTACTAGCCACCATCTAAGGCCATGCCACAGTTCAAAAACAGTTATGGCTTAAACTGAATCTTGGACTTGGGAACTTGTGCAATCAAGTGTAAAGTTATAATCAAGGACCAAATGTTCCGGTTCACCATCTGACTCTAGCTTCATGGCTAAGTTCAATCAATTCTTAGCTAATCCACTGAACGGAACACCATGTGCAAAGGAAAGAAAATAATTAGATTATAACAATTTCAAAATCACTCATAGGATCCAAAGCAGTGTCATACGCATTATTTTCTGATGAAACTTCAGATTAAATTTCTACTTCTTAAACTTGAGAAAATCAAATTTTAAATTGTTGGATTACCTTTCTTAAAGAAGGTGAGTCCAAAGAGCTGGGTGGGGAGTCTGCAGTAGATGACATTGTGAGGTAGTGACTAGACATATCATGTGGGAACTTGGCAATTTCATTTTGGCGATATAATCTGTGATGACGTAACTTTGCTACCCAATCATCAAAAGACTCTTTGAATTTCACCTAAAGACATAATTCATTAAAGTGTGAGCTGTGAGAATTAAAAAAAGTATGAAGTATAGCTTTAGGAAAGAAAAGTATTGAGTACCTTCAAGTGATATATATGCTCTTCTGTATCTATATCAATGCGTTTTGCTTTTTCCTTTATCGACATCACAGACAGGCCGACATCAATGCATCCATGAAGTTTTCCTTTCTCAATCTGAATAAAAACAGCCTTATTTTAAAACTCACCTTGCAGACGCAGGTATAGAATTAGCAGACCCCATTTGAAGTGTTAGAATAGTTCCAAATGTAATTAGCAAATTATATCTATATAACATCTTTTCCATGCTAAGGCACCTCAGAAAAACATAAAGAACACTTCTGAAGTCAAGAGACAACAAGGTGCAGGGCTGGATGAACACAGCAGGCCAAGCAGCATCATAGGAGCAGAAAGGCTGACGTTTCGGGCCTAGACCCTTCATCAGAAA